TGGTGGATGTGAAGATAATGATAGTGATGATGACGATAGTGATGATGATGATGATAGTGGACCTTAGTGGTGATGGTGGATGTGAAGATAATGATGATAATAGTGATGATGGTGGATGTAAAGATAATGATGATGATAGTGATGATGATGATAGTGGCGATGGTGGATGTCAAGATGATGGTGTCATGGTGATGACAGTGATGAAGATGATAGTGATATCATGATGGTGGTAGTGATGATGATAGTGATGATGATGATAGTGGTGATGGTGATCATGATGGTGCTTATGAAGATGATGGTGCAGGTGATGATGGTAATCACGGTAGATGTGGTGATGGAAATATTGGTGAAAATGAATTGATGAAGGTAGTAGTAATGGTAGAGATGATGATAGAAATTCCACCATCATGCAGACAAATGCATATAGGAACCTTGAGAAAAGAAAGTTTGAAAACAATTACCATGCTCCACTAGAAACATTGCTACATCCGTGTTCCAAGATCTCGCCACCTCATGAAAGATCGTCTGACCTGTCGGGTCCATACAGTTGATGTCGGCGCCATGTCGGAGCAGTGATTCCACGAACTCATAATCAAATATGTCGACGGCGTCATTCCTGGTCGCGAGATCGGCAATGTAATGTATCAAGGCGTGGTTCCTGACGTGGTTGCTTTGACTATCAACGTCCCATTTACCAAGTTCACCTTCAAGGACCGCGTGAGTTGGTTCGTTAGGTCGCTGGGTTTCTAGGATCGAAAAAAATAAAGGGCCGCTTTACATGAGTCCAGCCACCCAGGAAACATGCAAACAGGCTCTTAGACTACGTAGACAATCTTACTGTATCTGAGACCACTTTTGACTACCTTAGCGTCGCTTAGTGTAAACTACCTATGTTTATCCACAGTAGGGAACCTCAGACTACTAGACTAGAGTAGTTTAGGTTATACAACAAATCTACTTCATATTATGTACTTTAAGATATCTAAAGGTCCATCTACACTTTCTTGTGATTTCTTGTGCGATTTTCTCCTTCTGATGGATGTGAATGAGTAGATGAGTTACTAATATTCGGAGTACATGTACCCAATGTACCCTCCTCTGAACATTCATAACTTATCCACTCGTTCACATCCATCAGAAGAAGAAAATTGCACCTAAAATCGCAGCAAAAATTGCCAGTGTAGACGAGCCTTAAGACTACCTTAATAAGAGTAACTTAGATTATACATTATAGGACTACCTCAGATTATGCACCTTTATTGTTCCTGGGGTATACCATAGACTATCCAATCCAACCTTAACAAACTACCCTGGGCTACCTTTAACTACTATAAATTACTTTATAGCCTATCGTAGGGTATCTTAGATCACTTTAAGGTACCTTACGCCCGTATTCTAAAAGCTCACTCACACTCAATGAGCGGAGGTTCAATATGAGCTCTCTTGAGTGTCGGTGCTGTTTTTGAATAGCTGGAGGGTTAGTGTCGTACCTTACTGTGTGACTACTCACCCTCCAGCCATTCAAAAACAGCATTGACACTCAAGAAAAGTTCAGATTGAACCTCCACTCATTGAGTGTAAGTGCCGAGCAAACTAGGAAAGTCGCCTGAATGACACCTGCATGCCTTTGGTAAACGCACTTACGCCTGTTACGCCTGTATTATCAAACTGAGCTTCCCTTGAGTGTCAGTGTCTTTTTTGAATGGCTGGAGGTGAGTGGTCACATAGTAAGGTACGAGACTCACCCTCCAGCTATTCAAAAGCAGCGCTGACACTCAAGGGAAGCCGTCAGATTGAACCTCCACTCTTTGAGTGTGAGTGAGCTTTCAGAATACAGGTGATAGTGTTTAACAGTACAGAATCAGTTCCCTCAAACATTTCTTACAAATCCTTCAAAACTTAGAATTTACCCATGCAAAATTCCTACTGTGATCACAGAAACTTTGATAGTGTAAACCATCCTTTATAACACTCAGTAAGTTTCCTCAAACATTTCTTACAAATCCTTCAAAACTTAGAATTTACCAATGCAAAATTCCTACTGTGATCACAGAAACTTTGATAGTGTAAACCATCCTTTATAACACTCCGTAAGTTTCCTCAAACATTTCTTACAAATCCTTCAAAACTTAGAATTTACCTTTGCAAAATTCCTACTGTGATCACAGAAACTTTGATAGTGTAAACCATCCTTTATAACACTCAGTAAGTTTCCTCAAACATTTCTTACAAATCCTTCAAAGCTTAGAATTCACCTTTGCAAAATTCCTCTGTGAGCACAGAAACTTTGATAGTGTAAACCATCCTTTATAACACTCAGTAAGTTCTCTCGGACATTTCTTACAAATCCTTCAAAACTTAGAATTTACCTTTGCAAAATTCCTACTGTGATCACAGAAACTTTGATAGTGTAAACCATCCTTTATAACACTCAGTAAGTTTCCTCAAACATTTCTTACAAATCCTTCAAAACTTAGAATTTACCAATGCAAAATTCCTACTGTGATCACAGAAACTTTGATAGTGTAAACCATCCTTTATAACACTCAGTAAGTTTCCTCAAACATTTCTTACAAATCCTTCAAAACTTAGAATTTACCTTTGCAAAATTCCTACTGTGATCACAGAAACTTTGATAG